TTATTGGTGCTAAGTCTTACTCTCGATTTTAATTTTACCAATTTTTTTTTCTCTCTCTGAATTAAATCATTTTAAAAAAAAATGAATTTATTTTTTTTTTTTTACGTATCTTCATTTTTCAAAAGAAAAATATCTCAAAAAAAAAATTCCAATAATTTTTTTTTTTTTTTTTTTCGTTAGTACAATCAACTACGTATTCTTCATATAGCTAGTCCTTTTTATAACCAAAAAGGTTAATGAAGCCTTTTATTAAACATTGTTATATCGGAACACTTATTTTTATATAAACTATTATAATACTACAAATATTAAATAAAATAAGTTTTTTATAGTATTATTTTAATGTAATATGTTAAATTATTTCTGCTAATACACCAATAACATCATTATGTATATACATATTTTATCTGTTAATGTTCAAAATTTTATATATTTATTAATAAAATATATTATTTTCCTTTTATGAAATAATAGCTACTAATACAAAAAACTGAGAGTTAAACATACAAATTCTTCAGTTATCAAAAAAAAAAAGAAAAAAAAATTATTACTTTTTTTAAATATTTTTTCAATTAGTTCTAGGTAGTTATATTTTTTTTTTTTTTGAATAATGATAAAAAATTTTATTTAATTAATTTAATTTTAAATACAATGAATAATTCAATTGAAATTTCAAAAGAAAAATAAAAAGTATTTTGTTTTTATTATTATATAATTTTTATGTGTTTTTGAATACTGTTAATAGCTTCAATATAAAATTATTAGTTTATTTTAAAGGATTATTTTACCTACAATCAATTGTTTTAGAAAGAATTTATGTTTTTAATAAGGATAAATGTTTATTAGAATAAATAAAAAACTTTAAAAAAAAACAATTATCTAATTATATAAACAATATATATGAGGTATATACATTTGTAGCATCAATATAATTTTGTAACATTTAAAATTAATATATCGTGATACATGCTCTGTATTAACTTGTTTTCTCATTATTAAAGAGAACCTGTTGATCATCTTACTAATAAATCAACTTATAGTCAGCATCAGAACGAATTTAGGTATAATTTGTTAATTGATATAATTTCTTATAATTCTTAAAATTTAATAATTTTTCATAATAGGATAAATATATCTTTTTTTTTCTTAACGATTTAAAATAAATCTCAAATTTTTTTTTTATTATTATTTTTTTTTTTATATACTTTAATGAAAGTTATAATTAATGCAGAAATTTTATATTTTAAAATTCTTTTAAATATTTATATTTTTTACTACTATTTTTATAGAAATAAATTACATATAATTTTATTAATATACATGTTCTGGTAAACTGTACAATTACCTCAACAAGTAAGATATGAGCTATCATTTTTATTTCTTATTTCATAATTGTTATATATATATTATTTATTATTTTAAAGGTAATTATTGCTTTTTTTTTCATTAAATTATTAACCATATGTAATAATGGAAATGCATGCATATAAATTTTTAAATATTCTATTTCATTATTTAAGTTAAATAGTTATCTCTTAGCATTTTTATGAAATGGATGAGGTATAATTTTCACTAATTTGTTATTTTTTTATTACAAAATACATTTTTTTCATTAGATACAACCATAAATAACTTTTTATTGAATTTTTTTTAATTATTTAAAATAGTATTTTTATAAATTGGATCTATTTTTATTTATCTTTTCTTTTTATTTTAATTTTTACTTTCAAAAAATTTATCATTCGATTTCAAATGTATTAATACAGTAAAATGAATAAAATTTAATTTTAAATTAATTTTTTAATGATCTTTTAATTATCATGCTGCTAATTTTTCGAATTAATATTATAACAAAATCATAATTAATTGTATATTAAATATAGTAAATACATTCAATAACCGAGAAATCTCTAAAGAACTTATATTATTTGTATTTCTTTTTTCATTACTATAGTATCCATAAGATATATTAATTTTATTAATGATTTAATACTATTATCTATTTTTTTTATTTTTATTAACGATTTAAATAATTGTAATTTTTATCATTTTTTTTTTTTTTACGACATGTAGTATATTTTTCTTTCTATAAGAAATTAGTTTCTAATTTAATTCATTAAAAAACATAGTAA